ATTGACTAATTTTCCTCTTGATTATGGACCAAATTCTCCTGTTTCTTTACATCTTACAATAACTGTAGATAATGTGTAAGGACACTACCAGCTGTTAGTTTTTATTGTTGTTACTTTTTATTTTGTAAAAAGTACTGTCTTTTCCTTTGTTAGGCAACTAGAGTGATGGGCTTCTCAGTTCAATCCAATCAGGAATTGAGCAAGTTTGGGATGGGTTTGTAGCTTTAATCCTTCTGTTAGGGAATTTAATCCCTGGGACTAAAAGATATTGTACTATTTGCTTTTCAGCGGAGACACTAACTACTTCCTTTGCTGCCTCAGAGCTCATATATTTGATCATACTAAAATCTGAGGATGGAAGGGTTTACTTAGGTTGAGTTTACTTTTGGCTTTAACTTATTTGAAAGTGAGCTCAAAACCTTCCCTCCCAAAGATGTCTGGGATCAAACACTCCAAGACTTCTAGACATCAAAACTGCAAGACTTTACAGTGCAAGACCACACACTGCAGATGGTTTCCCCAGAACCAGGCACAAGGCATGGTGCATAACCCATGCTCTATAAATACAATAGCATATAGTGGAGCCAGAATTCCCACATTCAAATCACAGCTCTAATGCTTTTGAGTTCTCTGATACAGAACATCATGCAGACTCTGTATCTCAATTTCCCCATCTGAAATATGGGGTTATAAGAGCGCCTACTTCATAAGGTTGCTGTGATAGTTAAATAAATGTAATAAGTTTTACATAAGTGTTAGCTCTGGCCTTTTGTGATGATAACCCTCTTCATCCATGCAAAGAAATTGTTAGAAGTGAGCAGAAAATGGAGAAAAAATAAAAGCAAATATTTCAGAAATCTCTTACTCACAGTTATGGTTAAAAGTCCTCACAGCCTTTCCTGATGGAATTAGATTGGCTCAATACCTCTGCAAATCCTACTGTTGCTGAAGCAAAGCTGCCCAAGTGCCTCCTCTCCTTTAATTCATTGCCGTTTGTCTCTTCTTTGGTTCCTTCTTCCCTTCCTTAGGCTCCAGGCCCCAGGAGTTAGGTCCAAAGATGCAAGTTTTTAGAGAAGGAAAGTTGTGACTTAGCAAATCTTCCTCCACTCGGCCTGTCCAAAGTAAAGGTTCTCCCTCCTCCACCCCTGCTTTAATCATCCCTGGGAGAGAATGACCCAAAGAGGTCTCAGACATTTAAGAGCAGGCTACTCTGGTGAGAACAATTCCTAGCTCCAGCTGTGGATAACTTTGTCTCCCAGCTTTCTTGCCTGTTAAACATGTGACAGCACATTGACTAATTGCTGAGAAATGAAGTCTTGAAGAATGTTTCAAAAGAAACTGCCGTCAGCAGAAGATTGGATAAAAAAACTATGGTACATCTACACAATGGAATACTATGCTGCCATAAAAAAGATGGAATTCTCATCATTTGCAGCAACCTGGATAGAATTAAAGAACATCATGCTGAGTGAAATAAGCCAGTCAATGAAAGAGAAATACCACATGACCTCACTCATTTATGGATAATAAAGAACATTATAAACTGATGAACCAAAAGATGGATATAGAGATAGTAAAGCAACAAGCAGACTGTCAAATTACAGCTGGGAGGGTAGGGATATCTGGGGGAGATAAGAGATCAAGCAAAGGGCTTGTATACATGCATATAACTACAACCAATGGACATAAAACTCTGGGGAGGGAGAGTATGTATGGGAGGGGAGGCAATGTTAAAATATGTACACAGATAATAATTTAATAAAAACATTTAAAAAGAAAGAAAGAAAGAAAGAAAGAAAGAAAGAAAGAAAGAAAGAAAGAAAGAAAAAAAGAAACTGCAGCAAGCTTGTCAAAAGAACTGAGCTGGCCAGGAGTGGGACGGGCGCCCAGGGTGCAACACAGCCCACTGGCAGGCAGCTGAGGCACCATGCCCAGCACCTATCAAAGATGCTGAGAATTCAGAGCGGGGCTGCAGGAGGTCACAGAGCGAGCCCTCTCCACTCTGAGCAGAGGCCTCAATCGGCAGGCACCTGTCTCTTCTGTTCCTGTTCAAGATTCCATTCTTCTCAAAGAGGCTCTATGATGGAAGGCCACAGGGCCCTCTCCCTCATCCCACCCTCTGAAGGTTGAGTATGGAGTCCTCTCTGGATGGAGTCATGAGATGGAAGAATAAAAGTGTCCAGACCACCTCCTGCTATGCTCTCTAGACCCCAACAGTGTCCTTCCCCAAACCCAGCGCTTCTCCTTTGTATTTGCCGACTCATCAAACCCAAGCACCATGTTTCCTAAACACTCAATGATCACTATTAATCAGCAAGCTGGCGGTGCTGCTGCCTGCCCTGTGAGCATCTTGTTAATGACGGGAGAAGACTGCCAAACGGCCAGCTTGGCTCCGGATGGTGAGATATGGGTCTTGCCCAGACTGAGGAGGCAAAGGCATTGCTGTGAGCTGTCTGCCGCAGAACTGAGATCCCTGGTGTTTGATAACAAAATGAGCAGGCCCTCTCTCCACGAAGAACAATGTAAAGCATCCATCCACTCATTTCCTACCAGAGGCCAAAAACAAGGTGAAGGGAAAGCTTCAACTAGGAAGGAAGGACAACTAGCCACCCCTGCATTACCGACCTTTGTGTTTCCCTGAGGCCAGGATCTAGAGATGGCCAGCAGCAGCAGGAGGAGGAACTTAAGTTAGATGATCAGAAGTACTTTCTCATGTGAAGGATTGCTAACTATTCTAGGGTAGGTTACTAAGAAAAGACATGTTATCTATGACCTGCAGATCTCTTACTCCAACTTAATTAGCTCAGTCAACACTATGTTTATATGTGTTCATGTACAAATTTGATTTTTCTATCAATACATGAAATTGAGGAGGCATACTATAATGTTTATTTGATGACCCTTGGTGTCCCATCTCAATGGAGATCATACCCTGCTGGATGGTTGGCCATGGTGCTAGCCAGGCATCACCCGAGTGATGAGACTAGCAGGCACATCAATAAACCTTTGCCAATCAGATGATGTGCCCAAACACTGGGTTAGAGGCTGGGGAACCAAGACCTGAAGAATTATAGAGATTACAGTAGCCCAGGAGAGCACATCCTAGGTGTCAAATGTTGCCCAGCAAGAACTTAACAATTCAGAGGGAGGTGTTCGAGAAGTCAGTCAGAGGAGGCTCCGTGAGGGAGCGCAGCCTAAAGATGAGTGGGGAGTTGAATGCACGTTGTGGAGGGTTGGTTTCTGTCAGGAGGGGTTTCGGAAAGCCCCAAGGGGAGCACATCAGGGCCCCGGGACTGCAGTTCTGCCCTGATATAGGTTCTCAGAGCCATGAGCCTGTTAGAATTAATCACATGGAGGGCACATCCTTTAACTAGCCGCAGGACCTTGGGGAGCAGAGCTCTTGAAGGAGGAGTCCTTTCTGCCTCTCAGAGCCTCTCACAGGCCCCAGACAGGGCTCTACGTGTGCACCATCCCAACCCCAGGTCCCACGGAAGGAGGATCACAATAGGCATAACAACTCACCCATCTGCCCTGACAGGGCATTCGATCCACCAAAACCAGCAAGCTTGACTGCCCAGGCCACCCTGGGCCAGGCCCGCACCACAGGCCGGAGCTTTTATGTGGAGAGGGGTTCTCATGGGGCCAAACCTTGAGCCAGAGTCTGGTAGTAACTGAGGGACCCCACATCCACTCTCTACTGCCACGTGGAATTGCAAAGGAGCCAGCAGGAACAGCATCAACATTTCCAGGAAAAGTGAACTGTTTTAGAAACTATATGGCTATGTTTTTTTTAAAATTTTGAATTTTGAAGCCCCTGAGCCCAAAATTCAAAGGTTTCATTTCTAGCTCTGCTATTCATTAGCCTATAACCTTGTGTGCAAAGGAACCGGCAAGGATGAATGAAGGTCGATCTGATGTTTAAGGTCTTACATCCTCATCTATAAAATGGAGACAGATAATAATACCAACCTCATAGGATTGACCTGAGGAATAAATGAGCCAATAATATAACACACCCAGAACAACAGCCAGATTCTTGTAAGCACTCAAGAAAAGTGCTGATTATTATTACTAAACATGCCTGGCAATGGCAGTGCAGCCTTTTGATACAGGAAGGGTTTACAGAAGCATCCAATTGGAAGGCGGGCTTTGAGACATATTTTGAAAAGGCATTTGCATAACAAGCAAATCTTTTTCCCTTTTTCAGTATTTCTTGAGGAGATAATAGAAATATTTTCTTTGTAGGGTTCTTAGGAAGAGTAAATGAAATGATACATATACTGTGCTTAGAGCAGTAAGCATGCAGTTTAAATAGACTCATTTATTTGGGGTGGCTTGAGAGAGTTAAAAGGTGATGCAGGCAGGGCTGGGAGTACAGGTCTCATGAAGCCTCTTGTCAGGAAGCTCTGTTCTATGCTGCAGCTCCCGGAAGTCTTCCCTGCTGTGGATTAAGACAAGCATTTACACAAAGAAATTTCCTGAGAACCAATCAGGGTGCCAGACCTGGGCCAGGTTTCCAAGGACACTTGCTGCATTTCTTCCCTGGAGGCACTCATTGGTCCGGGACAAACCTAAGGGTTCATGTCCATCCTGCCTGAAGGCTGACCCTATAACCTCCAGAAGGCCTTTGGCTATAGGACCCTAGCTTCAAAGCATCTGAGCTCCCGGAGAAAGGACCAAGGATGTTCAGTCCACCTGGACCCCCAGAACTGAGGACTGGGAAGAGACACAGGTGTTGGGCTGTAAAACAGAGACCCTGAGCTCTCCTTGCTCACCAGCTAAGTAACACAGACACACGCTTTCACCTACTCACCTGCGCCAGGCCTGGCCCTGACCCCCTCCCAGAGGGACTCTGGATTGAGAGAGAGTCAGGGGCCTCGGACCACTGGGATAACTCACTTCATGACACTGGAGAGTTGAGCACATGCTGCCTCAGAGGACAGTGATGGAACACCAGGGCCAAGCTTGCCCCATTCGGCCACCAGCTCAGGATGGTTTACCTCGTGGATCCCAAAGTGGGCATAGGAGTCGAAGTAATAATCTCTTGAGGTCATCTCCTCTGGGTTCAGCAGCTTGGACATCTTGCCCCGTCCTGGACAGCTGGGTTGAGTGGACACATGATGGACACATTGCACAGGCTTGGATGGGATCACAGGCTGAGGGGGCTGAGAGGGGGTACTGCTCACCTGAGGGCGAAAAAAGGGAGCCTGGTGTGAACAGTGGCAGCAAGGCCCTGCCCTCTGAGATTTTGCCCCTCCTCCCTTCCTGGTCCCTGAGGCCCGCTCCAGTCATCCGAATGGCCACTCCTGCGGGGTGGGTGGTGCCTTCAAGGTTTCTGGCGGTCACATTGATGGCTGAGGTGCCATGCAACTCAGGAGCCAAACAGATCTGGGTTGAATCCAGATCCATCTCTTGCTAGTCAAGTGACTTGAGCCCATCTAGGCCTCAGTTTCCATCTCTGTTAAATTAGGACAATACCTTTCTTTAGAGGCAAATAGTGAACATTCAATAAAGGGAAAGATGTCCAGCATGGTCACTGGAGAAGAGACTCCAGAGCCAGTCTCCTGAAACATGAATCCTGCTCTCTGTACTAGCTGTATTACCTTGAGCAAAGTGACTAACCTCGTGGTGCCTCTGTTTCCCCTTATCTAGAATGGGGATAGAATGGTTCTCATCACCTAGAGTTGTCCTGAGGATTGGACAAGTTGGTGCTTATAAAGAGCTTAGAAAAGGTCAGAGCACTGAGTGTTTATTAAATTAAAATGAATCCCATCTGCCTCCTTAGGAAGTCACCCCCAAGGGCCCCCACAATGCAAGTCTCTGGGGTTCTGGGTCTCACACCTGCTGTCTCCCACTCTGGTTTCTGATTCATGGTCGCTCTGGACTTCAGCAATTTGCCTGAACTGTGAAGACCCGCCACTCGGTGACCTGTCCGGGTACCACCAGCCCTGCTCTTTCTGGGTTCCCAGACCTGACACTGGCCCAGCTGCACACCCACTGCTGCTGCCCAGCACTGACCACCTGCCACTCCCACAGGCCAAGGGGAGGAGGGAGAGGGAGATAGAAACTTGGAGAACTTCCGGGCCCAGAAGTTTAAGCCTCTCTGCACAGTCTGACAGGAAGAGCCTCCTCTCCCTGGAGTGGAGGAAACGCAGGAGTGCATAGCACAGCAAAGGACTCAGAGCAGAAGCATCTTTAAAAACAGAGGGAGTTATGTGCAGTGTGGCTGGTTGTCTGGGGCTGAGAATCAGGGCTCCTGGATCCTACCTGGACTCTCATAAAATGAAAGAAGACATTGAGAGGCAGACAGCATAGAGCAAGAATGCAAACCATGGGACCACACCGCCTGGCATTCAAACTCTGCCCTGCTACTTGGCTGACAAATGATCTGGGGAAGTCATTTTGTCATCACTGTGCCTCAGTTTCCTCCTCCATAAGCAGAGATCAAAATAAAAACTACCTGATGGAGTTGTCCAGAAATTTGAATGAGTTACTATAAGTAAATATATTAAAACACTGCCTGGCATATAATAAATTATTATTATCCTATCTAATAAAAGAGAAACATGCAAATTGACCGTAGTGCCTTTGCTACACTACCAGCCAATAGGAGTGAATATGCAAATTAACCCAACCAAGATGGTGAGGCCCATAGCGGCCAGGTGGCCTGGGAGGGGAGGGGGGGGGGCGCGGCAGGGGCTGGATTGGAGACATAAACCAGCAGGGAGGCTGGCACCCAGCAGTACCAAGTCCTGCCATGGCAGTGCTGGGGCTGCTGTGGGCCTGATCTGAGACACAAACCAGCAGGGAGGCTGGCACCCTGCAGTCCCACGCCCTGCCAGCCATGGTTGGTGCTGGGGCTGTGGGGGCCCAATCAGAGACACAAACCAGCAGGGAGGCTGGCACCCTGCAGTACCAAACCCTGCCATGGCTGTGCTAGGCCTGAGGGGGCCTGATCTGAGACACAAACCCACAGGCCTTTCGCCCAGCAGCTTTAAGGCCCATGGCCGAGGCCCTGGAGCTGCTGGGGGGGAGGGAGAGGGAGGAGGGAGGCAGCAGAGACACAAACTCCCAAGAAACCTGTGGAAAGGGAGATAAACTATCACAATTTTATCTCCCTTTCCACAAAATGAGAAAACTGCCCCTGGATTATTTAGTGATGTGGCCCACACCTTGTACAAGCACAGGGTATGTTATGACCACTCCCAGGAAGGTCTAGTCAGAATACCGTTTCCAGGGAATAATGCTTCTGTGGCAAATCATCTAAGAGAGGAAATAAGCTTTTGTTGGGTTTATTCTGAAGGTCAGAGAACATGCCATCTCAACATATGCTGTCTTGTTATTTTGATGATCTTGAGCTGCAGATGCTTGAAAAATAGCAAATTCATGCAGAGGTTTTCACTGAAGTCTCCTGATCTGCCTAAAACTGGACCCCCCAAAAGGAGCTTAGATATCATAGGTCCCCTTGACAGGAGAAGTATCATCAGGCAAAGAAGACTAACTCCTGTCACAGGATAGGAGAGTGGAAGTTGACATCACACCCAAACTTTGTTACAAACTATTACTCCCCCCACCTTCACCCCATTCATCTTTCCTAAAAATCATTTACTCTCCACTAAGAGGCCTACATCCCCCATCCCCTTTTTCTAGGAAGATTTAAATCTGCATTCTAAGCCACCTTGGGGAGTTACTCATTTTTCCCTGGAATCTCCCACATATACACGAGGTACACATGCTAATGAATTTTTGTTTTTCTCTTGGTGATCTGTCTTTTATTACAAGGGCCTCCACTAAGAACTCAGAAAGGTAGAGGAAAACAAGTTTTCCTCCTCCATAATTCTATCTCGGGAAATCAATTGCCCAGCTAAACAATGAGATTGGCTCAAGTACCAAGCAATTTTGGCTAACAAGAGGGAAGCTTCTAGGAAGAAATCAATGATATTGGCATCAAAGTGGGACAGAGGGCACATGCATGGTTGTTGGTGGGAGTTTAAAGTGGTTCAACATTTTTGAGGATGATTCAATAGAAATGTTCAAGGTACATCCAAAAGTCTTCTAGGAATCATATCTGCTGAGATAAAGCACAAGCACATAAGCCTTGGTCAGAACCCAGGATGTTACTGTGGACTCCTATTCCACAATAGGAAAACCTGGAAACATCCTGCATTTTTAGGACAAGGTGGTATCTATTACTAATAAAAGGGTAATATGCTAATTAGACTGAACATCTTCCAGATGACCTTCTTGACATCCTTCTCGACAAAGTCATGCTGGCGGGGCCAAAACAGAGGACGTGAGAGATGATCAGGCAGGCAGGGGGATCAGACCAGCAGGGAAGAACAGTTAGGGTGAACATGCAGGCAGGGGAGAGCAGTTAGGGGGATCAGGCTGGCAGGCAGGTGAATGGTTAGGAGCCAGAGGTCCTGAGGAGACCCAGATTGGAGAGAGTGCAGGCTGAGTTGAGGAGACCCTCTTCCTGTGCTAATTTCATGCACTGGGCCTCTAGTTATTAATATTCAGGTTACATAAACATGTCCCTGTTCTCTGCCTCATTTTTCTCATCTGTGAGCTGGGTCACCTCAGACTTCCTACCTCCTTTCCTGCAAAGGAAACAGGGAGGAACTACGACAGAGCAAGATAAAGAAAAAGCTAGTGGCTTCTTCCCTTTATCATGCTGTGGGCACAACCCCAAGACTGCCAGGGGCTGGAGGGGAGTCAACAGGGGAATGTGATGGTCCCATTTTCCTGGTGTATCTAGGCTACAGCCTCTGGGAAATAAGCAGGCTTCCCAGTTTAGCAACATTGGATTTCAGGTCGTCGAGATCCCAGGCTCACTGGCACAGGCAATCGGGCTGCCTCATTAGAATGCAGCAGGTGTGCCCACCCTCAGCTTGGGATGCTGGTCACGGTCTCAGGGAGGCTAAAAATAGACTGTGTCAATTGCACTCTCTCGTGGTGCCTGCAGAGTCACCTCTAAAGCTGAAAAAAACGCTCTGTGCATGAAGCTGACCCCAATCTTGACTCTATTTAAATATATTAAGAAGAGAAAAAGTCCTAGTTAGTCCACCAGTATGTGTGGTCAAGGTCACAGGGGCCTGCCTCTTGCACCCGATAACTACCATTCAACTCATTCCAAGCTCTTCTTTTCCATGGGGTCCCTGAGACCCCCCAGCAGCCAATTTACAAAGAGTCAACCACGTGCACTCATTACATTCATGAGGGAAAGAAATGAGTAAATATGGAGGGTCATTCAGCTCAATCACTACAGGTCGGGGCAACAAAATAGTAACTGGGCCCTGTCTCTGGTGTCACAGGCTGTCAGCCTCCTGCAGAGGGGACTTGCACTCTGCTCATGAGCTCAAAGCTGTGCCATCCCAGGAGGCTGGGAGTGGGGTGGGAAAGAGCAGTGGCCCAGGATTCTTGGGCATTCAGCTATGTGGGTGGTGCTTTTCACTCCACAAATACCCAGTGAGCACCTGTTGCAGCGAGGCGCCCTGCGGGTCCTGGGGGAGAAGCAGATGTACAGGAGAGTACCGTCAAAGCACTCTGCTTTCTAGCAGGAGTATAACACCTTTGAGGCTCCACTGGATGATGGAATAAGGTTTGTTTTACAAGAGAAGGTCAAGTAACTTGTTCTGGGGGCTCAAAGAAGAGAGAATTCATTTCCATTTAAAGAGTCAGAAAAGCCTGGGATGGCAGCAGTGGGGTGGGTGGGGTACTTTCTGAATGAATTTGGTAGGTGGAGTGATGGGGAGGATTCCAGGAGGAGGGAATGGCTTGAGCAAAGAGGTAAAGAAGCAGGAAAGCAGTGAGTTTTGGGGAGCAATTTGGCGGAGATATTGGGAGATTCGGCTGAAGTGAAATCATGGCCAGGCTGTGAGGTAATTAAACAAACAGGACAGTGGGGAGCTGTTGGCCATTCTTAAGCAGAGAGTTCTATGTTCGAGCTCTACTTTAGGAAGATGAATGTGGTGAGTGTCCCACAGGGGCAAGGAGGAGTAGAAGCCTTGGCAATGGGGAGGCAAGGCGTGAACCTATGAGACTATTTGCAAAGTTCAGTCAAAAAATAATGGTACCTGAAGCACTGTGTGTAAGTATGGGCTGCCTGCCAGAGAAGAGAAGCTCTGGGAGTTGGCCACGGATGACATATCAGGAACCAGAGATGCCTCCAACATTTCAAGCCTGGGGACCAGACAAACGGTGGTGCTCCAACAGAAACAAGCCAGCCAGCAGGAAGGGCAGGGTGGCCAGGGAAATGATGAATTTCAATTTCGATTCATGAAATGTTTAATGCTATTGAGGCATGTAAGAGAAGATGTCTAGCAAGCAGACAATAGTGCAGTCCCAGTCAATAAGTATTACAAACCAAATTTAAAGGAAGTGGTAAACTGAGAGTACATTTCTGCCATTCCTGACAGGTGAGGTTAATATACTTTATATGGACAGAGCTCTTACAAACCAACGAGAGAGAGAAGAACATCCCAATTTAACACTGGACAAAGGAGCTTATAGCGAAATCACATGAGAATAAGCACAAATGGCAAATTGACAACTGGCAAAAATATTTAACCTGTTTAGAAATCAGGTAACTTTAATTAAAGCAGAAAAGTTATAATTCTTAAATACCAAATAATCTCAGCTCCCCTCCCTCTACCCCCAAACTACTAAAAATCCTTTAATGGCTGCAGGAAATAAGTACTTTCATACAATTCTAGTGGGAACTTTTGGGAGGGTAGTTTGATAAAAATTCAGTAAAAGTGACAAAAAGCAGAAATCTGTTAGCCCTATAATTCCATTTTTTAAGTATATCCTAAGGAAAGAATCATAGATAATCATAAGCATGTAGCTGCAAGAATTTTTGTGAAAGGAGTATTTAATGGCAAAAAATAGGAGTCGACTTAGAGGTTCCACAAAGCACAAGTGACTACATGAACATTGACACAGTGCAGGCTACACAGCCTTTTAATTTTGTGGAAGCGTGTTTAATAACACAGGGATGTAATCACGATAAGCTGTGGGTTGAGAAGAACATTGTGGGAGAAGAATAGAGCAATTGCATTCTGAAAATTAAAACCCACTCATGCTTATGTGTGATGAAGAGGGACTCATGGACTGTCC